ATAGAAGGTCTTTATCAACCTCTTTGTGTCTTACAGGGGAACTAAAGGAGATAAAGCAGGACATCTCTAGTTTACGCTATGAGCTGCTGGAGGAGAGGTCTCGTCAGATGGTCAGGAGACTGGGAGAGAGACTAGCCAGTCATCAAAACCTGTAGTTTTTCTCAATAGTAACACTATTTTCATTATTCTAAGTGGTGATTCTCATAAGATTGTCAATATTATAATATATAATTTTTTTTTTAGATATCATAAAATAATGGTAGCACAACAAATACTATGACATTTAAATACTTGAAAAATACATTACTAAATATTTAATAACAACTTGGGTGCTAAACTCATGAAAATATCACAATGCAAAACTTCTTAATTATACCTAAATAGGCTTCATTAACTTTGATTCTCGCTGTAGTATTTTTACCGCCGCCATGTCGTGGAGACGCTGTGCTTCGTTGTGAAAGCAAAACTACTTTGTATGGCCTTCCAAAAGAGGACACACTAGAAATCAGTGGTTAAGTTTTATTTACAACACTGTTCCAGAACAGTTCAACCCAAATATTCCGATGTGTGCAGCACATTTTATGGCGTACTGTTTCCTGATCCTCGGAGAGTAGACTACAATGCCGGCTGTTCTGACTCACAGACTTTAATGTTTTAATGTTTTTGTCTTGTCGTTCCGGCCGGGACAAGGCATCACAGTATGGTAAGGGGCGTAACATTTCCGTCACACGCTTGAGGTATTCGGCCAATCACAACGCACTGGATAGCTGGCCAATCAGAGCACACCTCGCTTTTCAGACCGATGAGCTTTGTAAAAATCTACGTGTTTCAGAAAGGCAGGGCATAGAGGAGAAACAATAATGTACAGTATGTGGAAAATAATGTGTTTTTTGAACCTTAAACTGCATAAACACATTTCATTACACTAAATACACAAAATAATTTTCTCTTTAGCAACATCATATGACCCCTTTAACATGAACAATGGAAATTACAATTTAAAAAAATACATTTATGAAAATACTCTTGACCTAAGAACATAACTCTTCATTCGATTTGACTTTTGCTTGAACGTATCACTGTGGTTTTATTGTGTTCACCACTATTTACAAACAGCCATTACAAAAATATTATAATATTGGCAACTATTATAATATGGTGTGTGCATAATTATTAGGCAAGTGGATATTCTGATCAAGGGTTTTTCCCCCCCTAAGCACATGTTTCCAGTCCCAAACCACATAAATCTTAATAATTATAGAGTATTAATAATTTTCAGGTGATGTGTAATTGTTGATGAGGAAAGGTGTGACATAAAGTGACGCGCACACACACACACACACACACACACAAAGATTATTAGAGTGTGACTATCGGACAATCAAGAGCTTTGTTGTCAATAGTCTGCAAGTTCGCAAAAAAAATGTTGAGAAGAAAAGGTACGCAAATTACCAGCAAAAGATCTGCGAAGACTTAAGCATGAAACCACCAGGAACCTATTAGCCTCCAGTGCTGCCATTTTCCAGAACTGCAACTTACCTGAAATCTTCAGAAGTTCAAGGTGTCAGGCTTTCAAAGAATTTGCGTTGGTAAGGAAAGCTGAAACATGACCCCTAGTTAACAAAAATCACAGGTTGCAGCATCAAGACTGAGTCAAGAAATACATGAAGACTGATTTTAATGTAGGTTTTATGGACAGATGAAATGAGAGTAACTTTTGTTGGACCAGAGGGCTGAGCCTGTGGTTGGCTCACTGATTGACACAAACCACCAGTCTGAGTCAGGCAACAGCAAGGTGGAGGTGGCGGAATGGTGTGGGCTGCTATTATTAATGATGAGCTAGTTGGACCTTGTCGGGCTGTAAACGGACCGAAGATGAACTCCCAAAACTACTGCCAGTTACTGGAAGACACGTTCTAAAAACAGTAGTACAAGAAGAAGTCAGCAGCATTCAGGAAGGCCATGATCTTTATGCATGACAATGCTCCATCACATGCAGCCAAGAATCCCACCATTTGGCTTGCAAGGCTTCAAAGATGACAGAATAATAGCCTGGCCCCCTTGTTCACCTGATTTAAACCCAAAGGAGAACTTGAAAAACCAACACACTAAACCACTGCAACAAACTTTTGAGTTCAACTTATTGAGCCTTGATAGAAACTCCTACAGTATGAAACCTGTACCTGATCTTCCTTGTTATTCTGTTCAGCCCAGAGGTTCAGATCACTAATGAAATCATGGGGATAGATTACACATAAAACAATTGTTATCAGCTGCTGTCACGGATCAGAGTGAGTGTTAAATAGTGAGGGAGTGATATGAAACAGTGTGTAGTGCGAGAGTCAATGAATAGGAAAGTTCGTGGACCGGATTCGTGACACATAGGCTATTTTAAATTCTGGTCTCACAGTAACAGGTAGGGATGTTACACCATAGTTCAACCTGACCTCTTGAGATCCTCACACCTTTTTTCCCCCACCACCTGTGTGCTGAGCGCAGCCCATACAGATTTAATTTGCCAGGCGCTTCTCTGTCTAGAAATGAGTCAGAAATAGACAGAAGAGGTGAAAAGCTTTTATCAGAATTGGTTGACTTGACTACCAGAGCTCTGACCTCAACAACAGCTCGCTTGCTTATATATCCCAACATGAGTAGCAGTTTTGTATCATTGTGAGTTCTTTTTCCTGCTAATCTCATTGTACATTATCTAGCTTATTGTTACATTGCTACTTCACAAAAACATAACTACATGGACATGACAATTTGACTGGATTTGACACTTTTTATTCAATTATTGACCAATCAGAATCAAATGTTCCATTTTTTTTGCACGTCACATTGAAATACACTGAGCAGTCAAATATTTTTGTATAATGACCAAATAAGTAAATAATAAGTCATTAAGTACTGATTTGAGTTACTGATTTGAAAAAGTGACATGATGGCCTGGGACTATTATTTTGTACACATTATGCAAAAATGCTAAAAGGTTGACCAGTCAGAATTAAGTATTCCAGAGATTCATGTAATAAATTATTATACTCTAAATATTCAATTATAATAGCACAAGATCACGTTTTTGTGTTTTCTTAAGAGATAGTTTGTGATCACACCAGTGTCACAGCTCATTGAAGCTTGGTTGCCAAGGTGATCGGAAATAATGCCTTGCAGATGCAGCAAAGGGAAGAAAATAACCTGTTTGGTCACTTTGACCCCATCAGCGGAGCACTCTGACGTGAGAAGTGTGAGAGAAAAATACTTCAAATTAGATTTGGAGAACAGAAAAGATTTGTCGCCATTGGGCTGTCACAATTAGCGATATTCTGAAAGATTTGATTACTGGGTCTGTCAGCTATAGTAGCTATGCTTTTTTGTGACTTAAGTGATATCGTACAGCCAAGGCTAAGCAATTGTTATCAGTGGCGGCTGAAAAAAACAGTTCAAAACATATAGGAACATGATATAATTAGTGGTGTTTACTGTTTTCATATTGATCATATTGCCTATACCAGTGGTTCCCAGCCACGCTCCTGGAGCCCCCCAACACTGCACATTTTGCATCTCTCCTTTGTCTGACACACCCATTTCAAGTCTTGGAGTCTCTAGTAATGATCTGATCATCTGAATCAGGTGTGTTTGATTAAAGAGATATGGAAAACGTCATTAAGGAATGTCATCATTCCAGGAATGTGGTTGTGAACCCCTGGCCTATACTGTTTGTGTGGGTTTTTTTGCGACTTTTTTTGTTCAAGCAAACTTAAATTCTCCCAGAACAGTTTAGAGGGGAGCGTGCGAGAAGTCAGTGTACCATCAGAATGATTTGAAATTAATATTTCAAAGTTGAAACTGAAGTATAGTTGGTTTGAGAATAAGATTTTCACAAACTTTGGTGTGTTCGGCACTTGTTAATGATTTGCTCAATGAAGTCAATCGAAAACCTGCATTTGATAGAACACTGTTTTTCATTAGTCAAACATTAAACAAATTCATATTACCAAAATTACACTTTGAAAATATAATTAAACTTGATTCCTCATAGCATTAGACACCTGGACTAAACGATGCATTAGTGGAAAATTATTTGGTGTGAAAGTGAGTAGGTAAATCTTGCTTTTCTGCAAGGAAATGAGCTTCGAGAGAGCTCTTAACCGGCCTTCTGGAACCGAGCACACAAGTACAGGATGTTCACATCACATTAATGAATGACCTCAAACAAAGAACATTCACCATATAAAACCAGCCTATATTCTTAGTCAGTTTTTTCGGACTTTGCTGAACATAAGACATCACAGACAGTTTCAGTTGAATTGGGATGCAGACATTAGTACATAGCCTAATTTTCATATTCAGTCTGGAAACAAATGTGTAACTTCTCCATGTGTAACTTCTGCGCAGATAAATTAGAAGGACGTTTTTTCCCCTCTGCCCTGTCGTGCTGAACACATTATGTGGAGCATGTGTCCGGAGCATGTTGGATAACATTATAATGCCTTTAATTTCACAACTCTTCCATGACCACCAGTTCTTTGTTTTGCTATTTCGGCGTCTTCATCCATCACACTCTTACATGAGACTCTGTTTGATTTTATGTCATTGACTTGTTGCCAAAAGGTGAAACATTCTCTTTCTACAATTGGTTTGATGCAAAATAGACTTTTGTCCTGAACTCTAGTCTTTACTTAAAAAAGTCTTACAATAAATAAATAACAGGCAGCACAGTTCAATGGCAAGTTGTGAAGATAGGAAATATAGTTTAATTTCTACATCCGTGTCTATATTAAATATAATATATATCATTTATAAATGTATATATATACTGTTATTAAATGTATAGGCTAAATATTCTAATTAATAAAGCAACTTGTCGTTGTTTTAGATTTAGGAATAAGTCGCAGGGACACTTTTGTACAGCCTCTCACCACAAGGAGAAATACTCCTTAGACACAGAGAATACACAGAGAAGGTTAAACGGCAGTTCACAACATCCAACCAAACAGTGAGGACGCATCTTGCCGGCCAGATTTGTGATTATGGAATCCAAAACTAACAGCAGAATGGACACTGTGAACACTTCTCTCACTGATTCCACAGAGATGAGGACTGGAATAAGCAGTTTAATGGAAAAATTTACGGACGAGTGTTTTGGGCACGGCAGGGTCTCCGAGCGTAATTTTGGAGACGCGGGGTCTTTACGCAGCAGCGCGGCTGGATCAAGCAGCGACGCTCTGGATCAGCTATCTCTGCTTGACTTGCCTATCTGTACCAGAACGTATACTGATCACATGGATGACTTTCTGAAAGTCGAAAGCGGACAGTGGAGCGCAAAAGCGCTTCTGCCCAAGCACTCAAATGTTTCGGAGAGTTCGTTTATCAAAGATGAGAATGAGCAGTCTCTCATTATGGAGCCACCCAACACTGATTTCGACCTCGGCTTAAACATCAGCGCCTTTGAAAGCTGCTACGACCCAGCCGAAAAGAAACAGCAGTGTGAGTTTATTGAGGAGTCTTCAGCTTTGCTCTCATCTCAAGCTGCCCAGCAGGTAGCTGTGGACAGTTCTTCTAACTTTCAGTTGGACATGATTCAATCTAAATTGGTTTTGCCACCTCAGAGAAGAGTATCGCCTTCTCTCGGTAGAGGTATGTTGAATTTCGATGGAACGAGCGCAGCTACCATGATGCCCAAAACGGACATTTCCAAATGGATTTCACCCAAGGACTCTCCGTTCTGGTATCAGAGCACTATTATGAATGAAGAGCACGCTGGATATTCTTCACCACATGGGTTCATCTCGCGCTCACACACAGTTTACACGGCATTCCCAGGGTAAGAATGATATGTCATGTATGTTGTGCCTCATTCAGAATTGAATTTAAGCAAAATAAAGCTGAATTGTCTGAATTTAAAGAAGTAGTATTAAACGTGTGTGTGTAGTTTTAATTTAATTATTCATAATAATTATTATTTTGGAAATGTCACCTTTACAAATTTGTATTTATCATTAGGCTATAAATTGAAATAGATGAACTTTATTCATTTCACTGTGCACGATGGAACAAGTTTTCTGTTGTTACCCCAATGTCTTCAAAATGGAGCCTAATGGAAATACTAAACAAAGATTTAGCAATCATCTGTTCTTGCCAATTTTTTGTTTGTTCTGCTGGACCAAATTTGACACCATGGTTGTGGCCAATTCATTGTGAATTCCTCTTATGAACTGAATGGTAACTTATTAAAATAATGAGTTATATACACTATAAAACATTTAGAGGTTGTAAAGAAGTACTTCTTATAAGTACAAGTACATTATATATATACACTATTTCAGTCTTTCTACTTAAAATGTAATGTTTAATACAATGTCTTACCTGTCATCTCGTAATTATTCTTGAAATTTACAAGACATTTCTTAGTGTTTCAAAGTAATCCTACACCATTTTTTTTCATTGTGTATTCTCTAATCAGTCATGTAGAGGGTGCTTTTAATTCTGCTCCTAAAAAAATAACAATAATTAAAATAATAATATACATTATATATATACACTATTTCAGTCTTTCTACTTAAAATGTAATGTTTAATACAATGTCTTACCTGTCATCTCGTAATTATTCTTGAAATTTACAAGACATTTCTTAGTGTTTCAAAGTAATCCTACACCATTTTTTTCATTGTGTATTCTCTAATCAGTCATGTAGAGGGTGCTTTTAATTCTGCTCCTAAAAAAATAACAATAATTAAAATAATAATAAAAAAAAATAAATAAATATTTTTGCACATTTTTATATTTACATATTACATCCACTTGGTGTGAGCCAGAACCAAATTCTTTCAAGGAGCAGGACTGAGCACATCTAGTTTAGCACTGAATGAGCTCACCATCAAAAATCACTTCATCAGAGGTCAGAACATATTGTACAGTTGCCACTATGGAGTTCTTACCTGTGGAAGCTGCAAGGTGTTTTTCAAGAGAGCTGTTGAGGGTGAGCAACATTGTGCTAAAACTATTGTAATAATTCTGTCAAAATGTAATTGATCTATCATGAACTTTCTACACTGCAGTTCTTCTCTCATGTAATGTTGATGTATTTCGTGAATCAGGAAACTTCCCAAACAGGAAGTCTGAGCGGGACATATTTAAGGCTAGCCAATAGGCTTCAGTTACCTCACAGCCATGAGCATGAGGATATTGGAGGTGGGACAATCTTATTTTAGACAGCATTTGATTGGGCAAAAGTGGCATTTTCCTAGTAGACTAAGACTATTTTATTTTTTTTGTAATGTGCATACATGCTAAATGTTAGCTTTTCCAAATTGAAGTAACACACTAGCATATAGTAGATGGCTTGAAAGCAAACAAAAGATGTGGACTACAAGCTACAAAACACAAATTGCGATTGAAAAAAAAAAAAAAAGTTAATAAAAGTTGTCCAGATTACTCATGCGCTCTTTTCAAAGTCTTCTGAAGTCATACAATCGTTTTTGTGTGAGGAACAGACTGAAATCTTCTCGAATCTCTTTGATGCTTGTTGAGCCCCAGTCCCCATTCGCTTTAATAGTATGTACACAGCAGTCTGGACATTCTGCTAAAGTTCTCCTTTAGTGTTCCAAAAAAAAAAGTCCATAATGCTTTGATCAACACTAGGAAACGTGAATGATATTGTTGGATAAACTATTTCTTAATTTGAAAAGAAATATATTTATAACCCCATGGTTCTCACATGAATATATTTCTGCATGGGAAGAAATTGTGACCTTAAAGATCAAGTAACACACTGGCTTTCGCCCTAAAGACTCACAACAGTTAATTAGTGTTCTAATGTGCAGTAGCATATTGAATAAAAGTGACAAGATGATCAAGATGGACCCTCATTATAGTATATTTATGTGTTTCAGGCCGTAAAATGAAGCGGTTTGCGGGTTTGAAGGTCATGGGGTTGAGTCCATCGTTGATGTTCCAGGGTCCGTTTTCTCTGCTGGCTGATGGTCAAAATGTGTCCTCCCTGCCTTGTATGCCAACGATCCGTGAGCTGCAGCTGTCCCCGCAGATGATCAGCATTCTGGAAAACATTGAGCCACAGGTGGTTTACTCTGGCTATGACAACTCGCAACCAGAGCTTCCCCACCTTCTCCTCAACAGTCTCAACAGACTCTGCGAGAGACAGCTGCTCTGGATTATCAGATGGTCCAAGTCTCTTCCAGGTAACACCATTACAATCAGCCTAATAAACATTTGAGGTTACACTTTTCAAAATAAAGGAATCTATGGTTCTGGTTCCATGAAGAACCTTTAACTGTGGAACCTTTCCATTGCACAAAAGTTTCTTTATAATGGAAAAAGGTTCTTCAGATTAATAAAATGTTCTTCACACAAAGGAAAAAAAAATGGTTCTTTTAAGAACTGCTCACTGGTTATTTGGGGAACCCAAAATGGTTCTTCTATGGCATTACTGCGAAGACCTCCTTTTAGAACCTTTATTTTAAAGAGTGAGTTACCGTTATTTTTAAGAGTGATTTACAGGGCTTTACTAAAGATTTTTGTTGAACTTCTGTGTTTAACAGGTTTTCACAATTTGCACATCAATGACCAGATGACGTTAATCCAGTATTCCTGGATGGGTTTAATGTTGTTCTCGCTGGGTTGGAGAACCTTTCAGAATGCCAACACTGATTACCTGTACTTTGCGCCCGATCTCGTCTTGAGCCAGTAAGTAACAGTAAAGACAACCAAATTCAAATATTTTTTTATAAAATGGATAGTTCCGGTCCTTGAGCCATGTTCGAAGCTGTTGTAAATTACTCTGCAAACATTCACCTTTGTTTACGTTTGTCTGTTGCTTGGCAACCACTTTGTTGCAAGCACAACTGATTTGGTGGAAGAATACTGTTTTTATTAATATCATTACACTTTATTTGCTCTGTTTTATTTTGTGAAACCTTACTACGTATATGGAATAACTGCTTCGCGTTGTGCCTAACAACGCCCATTAGCTGTTATAAATTCACTGTAAACTATGGCTTTTTGGGGCTTATTGCTTTAGAAGAGTGAAGGCCCCTGGTATACTTCAAGCAAAATTGTAAAACTAAGTGGTGCGACATCATTTCGAAACAAAATCAGTCCAAAGCAAAGTTAGTTTGGGATTAAAAGATTTCGTAACAGCTTGCCAAAGTGAAATTTATGGAAAAGTTTGCACTGATTGGTAAACACCTTTGAACTACCATTGGCCTATGGCAATTACATAATTGTAAATCCAATTGAAAGTGATGTAAGGGTGGTTTCCCTACAGTGGTTCAGGCTGTAGGATTGCCGAATGACTAAAGAAACGTTATCAGCATGATATAAAACTGTACATTTCTAGTCTATTACCACCCACTGCCACTTATACCAACGACGGAAATAAGCGCAGTTAGAATAGCTAAATATGTGGGAGAGCGTTGCTATTGAGTGACTATTGTATTGCAATAGGTAGCACTTTAATATTAAACTTGGATCAAGACTAGTTAGCACATAATTAATAATTGAAATGGTTTAATAAAATATTTTGTTATGGTTACACTTGAATTGGTTACAAAATAGCTGAAGGATGGTAAAGCATAGTTAATTGTACCCAGCATGTATGTAAAATGTTACCTGAGGGAGAGAGAATGAGAGATAGAGAGAGAGAGGGCAGAGCCCCAAGAAGAGAGTCCCAGCAAAGAAAGAGAGAGCAAAGAAAAAGAGGTAGCAAAGGAAAGAGACAGAGCAACAGTTACAGTCCTCTTTTATCCCTTCCTTGACCATGTGACTAAAAGCCAAATGTGATACATTCAAACTGACCAATCAGCAGATTACAGCTTCACCCACTGTGCAAAAGAGTGTGATAATTAGCAGACCCCTGATGTATACACATGTTGGCCTATAGGCCTTGATCGATATCAGCACTTCTGTGGCTTCAGGAATGCCAAATGGCCCTTTTGTTACTCAAGATAGGTTTGGGACAGGAAAGCAGAAGTATTTGATAATTTTTGACCATACAGTGACATTGACACTGATTTTCATGCTTTATACGGTAAATTTGCTTGCACTGAAACAATTGTATGTGATAAATAAGTGCTATATAAATAAATGTGACCTGACATGATTTGACTTGAGTACTGAATTGCAGAGCAGGAGCAAACATATCCATATCACTATGATCAGATGCTTTCTTAAATGCTGTTTTCTCACTGTTTACATTTATTTATTTATTGTGCTCTTAAGAGGATAGTTCCCAGCACATATGTTCGCTAACAGTATACTGCAGCTCAGGTATTTCAAACTCCCAAGAACTTTGCTGTGAGTGCAACAGACACTTTATCACTGACCTTTACCTGTTTTGTAACTTATTTCTGGAATGTGTCTGGCTATTAGAATCCCAATAGCTACATCCAATTAACAGTTGTGTATATACTGTATATGCAGTAAACAACAGACATTGAGGTATGCATATACTCAGTATTCTCACAGAGCTGTTTAAATTTTAGTGATCAGCTGAGGAGGTCTCCGATCTACGACTTATCCTTGGCTATGCAGTTTGTTCCACAGGAATTTGCCAACTTGCAAGTGACCAAGGAAGAGTTTCTGTGCATGAAGGCTTTGATGCTCCTCAACACTGGTAATAAATCCTCTCTGACCCATACAACTCTTACTGACTGACCCTCTACAGGCCAGATCGGTGTTTTAGAATGGAATATTAAAGGGTTAGTTCACCCAAAAATGAAAATTAGCCCACACATTACTCACCCTCAAGTCATCCTTGGTGTATATGACTTTCTTCTTTCAGACGAATCCAGTCGGAGTTATATTAAAAATTGTCTTTGATCTTTCAAGTTGTTTAATGCCACTCATCGGGTGTTGCACGCATCAGTCCAAAATAAGTTAAATAAAAAGTGCCCATCCATTAAAACAAAAGTCTCTCATACGGCTCTGGGGGGGTGAACAAAGGCCTCCTGTAGCGAATCGATGCGTTTTTGTAAGAAAAATATCCATATTCAAAACGTAATATTCACTTTAATGTAGCTTGCGCCAACAGTCCTACATGGAAGCAGCTCCGGGCAGATGACATATGAGGTCAGCGTTGCGCATGTGCCAGGGAGTCTCGTGAAAACCAACGTATGTTTACAGGATCAAAGGAAGCAAAGTTTCCTTACTTTAGCAAAGGAAAACCAGTCTCCTCTTGGCTTATATCAAAATCCTCCGACATTCTTCTTTACAAACCCTCGTTTTGTACTTCTAATAAGTGTTTTGTTTTGATCACTTCTGAGTGGCGCATGTGCAAAGCTGACCTCATACGTCATTCGCCCGGAGCTGCTTCCGTGTAGGACTGTTGGCGCAAGCTACATTAAAGTGATTATTACGTTTTGAATATGGATATTTGTCTTACAAAAACGCATCGATTCGCTACAGGAGGCCTTTGTTTACCCCCCAGAGCCGTGTGAGACACTTTTTTTTTTAATGGAGGGGGGCTTTTTATTTAACTTATTTTGGACTGGTGCATGCAACACCCGCTGAGTGGCATAAAACAGCTTGAAAGATCAAAGACAATTTTTTATATAACTCCGACTGGATTTGTCTGAAAGAAGAAAGTCATATTCACCTAGGATGACTTGAGGGTGAGTAATTTGTGGGCTAATTTTCATTTTTGGGTGAACTAACCCTTTAACAGTCTGGACAATTTTAAACCAATGGCCCCATGCCAGTCGGCATGGATAGACAGAGATACGTGTTTGGCAAACTGTGAGACCTTGAAATGTCCAACTAAGTTTCAATTCCAAGCCAACAATTTTCAAATGAGAACAACAGTAATACCAAAGCAGCCTTCCAATTGTACTGACTACATTATTTTACTGGCAGAATGTTTTCAGTCGACAATGTAAAAAACAGTGTGACTAAGTTAAAAGCTGTGGTGAAAGCTGTGTTTAGATGGCAAACTGTCAATGCAGGACACTGTCAGAGAAGATATTTTTTACTGTTTACAGAGTCGACATCTTTTCAGTAGTTTATAGAAGGAACATTTTATGCATGGTGAAATAGCTCAAAGAAGCTTTAATTTATCTGTAACACTAATGCTGCGGGAAACTCTAACATGACCATTGGTAGTAGTGCATCGGTAATGATTTAACATGATGTATTTGTGACAGTTCCTCTGGAAGGCTTGAAGAGTCAAACACAGTTTGATGAAATGAGACAGAACTACATCTGTGAGTTGATGAAAGCCATCCAGCTGAAGGAGAAAGGAGTGGTGGCCAGCTCACAGAGATTCTACCACCTGACCAAAATCATGGACACCATGCACGAGGTACAGCACGAGTAAAAACAATATGATGGGGAGCTATAGACTAAATATATGTCATTTTTATAGCAAATGCTTGAGAGTTTAAAGGATTTAAAATAATAAGAAAAAATTGAAAAGGTAGCTGCTGAGCTTTTTCAAAAAATCCTGTTTCTCTACCTCAGACCCAATGTAAAAGCATTGCAACACAATGAAACTTAAGGCTTGTTCACACCAAGAATGATAATGTCTCAGGTTACGTATGTAACCATGGTTCCCTGAGTAGAGAACGAGACACTGGATCCTCTAGGGGTCGCTATGGGGAGCGCCTCGTTGTGACCCGTGTCTGAAGCATACATTGAAAAAACACCAACAACACGTTGGCCGGCGATAGCCATGACGTCACTACCGGTGTGACTATAGTAAAAATAGGTGCCGGGAGAACACATCATCCACTTCTTTGTCTGAAGCTTGCGTCCGAAGCATGGCAGGAAACCTAGAGGAGGCAGTGTCTCGTTCCCTACTCAGGGAACCATGGTTACATATGTAACCTTGGAAACAGGAATAGATTCCTTTAAGGGAATACGACCAAGAGCCTAGAATCATACTAAGTCTTGGCCTGTCACACAGAGGCTACCGCATGCTCTGCATGTGCTGAAGGAACTGTCTCAACAGACCCCTAGTAGCAACACCCTGTTAAAAGTAGGTCTCCGGAGGATACAATGTGGAGTGGTGCCCTAGGTGGAACCGGGGCTTAACCAGCTCAAGAAAGGGCAAGAAGCTGCCGCGCGAAGCCCTCACCATACAGGATTTTAGAAAGAACGCAAGGTACTAGCATGCAAACTTACCACAGTGTGGATTTTAGAAAGTGTACAAAGACTTCACGTGCACACTTACCATAACACCGATTTAAAAATACCGTTCTAAGGGGCCCTTGTGGCACTCTGAAAGAGCAGCCCATAGATGGAAATCCCAAAACACTATGTTTGAGAAGTCATCAACTCTATCTAAGGTATAATGCTGGAGTGGCTAGCAGTAAATCTCTAGCTGAGGGAGCAAACACCCAGCTCTCAATCGAGAGGGGGCTCGACTTACAGCATGTTCCAATGCTGGAGCAGCTAGCAGTTACTTAGCTGAGGGAGCAACACACCCAGTTCTCAATCAAGAGGGGGGCTCGACCTGCAGCATGTTCCAATGCTGGAACAGCTAGCAGTAATTTACTTAGCTGAGGGAGCACAACACCTAGCTCTCAACGAGAGGGGGCTCGACCTACAGCACGATCATTAGAAATCAGAAGGGTAAGTGTACTGCAAACTAGCCTAAACTCAGTGCATCAGAGAGGCGGAGGAAGGGCCTAGTTCACCTGATGCTGCTGGTTCCAGGTGCTCTGGGAAAACAGAAAACTCAACTCTCACGTGAGAGGAGAACTCCAAATTCAGAAAGGAATAGCATGCTCATAGGCAACCCTTTGATAAAGGGTACCACTGCTAAACACTACCACGAGAACAGCCCATGGAGCGAGGAATCCAACTCCTCAGAAGGGAGAGAATTCAAACGCTCGAAAGAAAGCACCATGCTCACAATATCCCTCAATGGTGAGGGGAGCGATGCTTCAAAAGTGTGTGAACAGAGACATTATTGGCTGAGTGGAGCCCAAGGTACCGGGGTCTAAACCAACTCAGAGAAAGGGAACGAGGCTAATGACGCGTAACCCCTACCATACAGGATTTCAGAAAAGTGCGCAAAGTATAACGTGCACACTTACCACTATGTGGATTTTAGAAAGTGTGCAAAATGCTCAGCGTGCCTACTTACCACCATGTGGATTTCAGAAAGAGCACAAAGCTTAGTGTGTGCACTTACCATAGCATGGATTTAAGAGCTTCCCAAGCATCTGTTCACATATACCTGGAAGTACTGAGCCAAATGGGAGAGACGAGCTCACATGCAACCCTCTAGTAGTAGTAGTAGTAGTATACTTTATTGTCCTCAAGAGGAAAATTGTTATGCCCATGGAGTAGACTTAGTATGGCTGTGTCATCTGAATATTTAAAAATAAAATTTTGTGAATGCCTACTTAAGCATTCATTTGTAAAAAGTGTAAAAAGAATAGGTGAACTGACGCAGCCTTGTGGAACACCTGTACTACTACTCTTTTGATATGAAAGAAGATTATTTACCTTTACACATTGAGTTCTATCTATTAAAAAAGAATAGTACCACTTAATAGTACCACTCTAAGGCGAGGGGAGCACTGCCTGAGACAGCATTACACAAGAAGGTTCTCGCAAATGCCACCTATACTTCCCGCTCGATGCCTCAGCAAGAGGGGATATCCTGGGGACCAGGAAGCCCCTCAGGGTGACCTAGATACAGTGTACCAGACAGGGCAGCCTGAAAGCATATGCCCAGCCCGGACGTCCGGGAAATTTTGCAGTGCTGTGCTGGGGGCCTGATGATCAAGAAAGCTCCCGCAGAAGCCCGGTGGTTACAGGGGAATTAGGAAGGGGAAGATAAGGGCAGATGTAAAACACCCGAAGGAAATGAGTAGATACTCAAGTATCACTCTGATCCGGACGAAAGCACTGACGCCTTGTCTGGATCATATCACTTAGGTCTTGCCTACCTCCCTTTGACCGGCGATTCCTCCTACCCCTACCCGCAGACGGGGGAGGAGCGCTAGCCGCAACACTAGCCTTCTGTGCCCGTCTCTGATCCTCAAACCGAGACGGGCCAGGACTCCTGGGTTGTTCGTGCTCAGACCTGGACCTTCGTGGAATGAAGGATTTGAAGGCCGCTGAGCGCGCCTTCGCCTCCCTGAACTTCTCGGCCACCGTCTCAATGGAGGTACCAAAAAGTTCGGAAGGTGAAACTGGAGCATCGAGAAGAAAGCCCCTCTCTTTCTTCCTGATATCTGCCAGGTTCACCCACAGATGTCTCTCCATTACTACCATAGAACCAACCAAAACATCATGGGTCCAGCATAGGAGACTGTAATGCAGGAAGCAGTATGGACCTGCCCATAGCAGAGGCGGCCTGCTTAGTTGCACGGAGTGCGAGATCCATGGTGCAGCGTAACTCAGCTACCTCATCAGGAGAAAAGCCCGTGCCTTTATCCATGTCTTTCAGCAGGTCAGCCTGATATGGCCTTCTGTGCCCGTCTCTGATCCTCAAACCGAGACGGGCCAGGACTCCTGGGTTGTTCGTGCTCAGACCTGGACCTTCGTGGAATGAAGGATTTGAAGGCCGCTGAGCGCGCCTTCGCCTCCCTGAACTTCTCGGCCACCGTCTCAACGGAGGTACCAAAAAGTTCGGAAGGTGAAACCGGAGCATCGAGAAGAAAGCCCCTCTCTTTCTTCCTGATATCTGCCAGGTTCACCCACAGATGTCTCTCCATTACTACCATAGAACCAACCAAAACATCATAGGTCCAGCATAGGAGACTGTAATGCAGGAAGCAGTATGGACCTGCCCATAGCAGAGGCGGCCTGCTTAGTTGCACGGAGTGCGAGATCCATGGTGCAGCGTAACTCAGCTACCTCATCAGGAGAAAGGCCCGTGCCTTTATCCATGTCTTTCAGCAGGTCAGCCTGATATGCCTGGAGCACCGCCATCGTGTGCAATGAAGCGACAGCCTGACCTGCTACTGCGTATGCCCTGCCATTCAAGCGAGATGTATCCTGAAGGGGCTTAGATGGCAAGGAGGGAGTATGCTTCAGACACTGGTCATGACGAGGCATTCCCCATAGCGACCCCTAGAGGATGCAGTTCGAAGTATCCTTGAAAGGGAACTACACTCTAAAAAAAAATGCTGGAAACGGTTAAAAGTTAAAATTCTATGTTAGTGATTTAAGTAAACCTTTTAAGTTGCAAACATTATTTTGATGAGTATGGTAATATAGATCATTATATCATCCCAATATTGTTTGTAATTTAAACAGACAATTTCTGCGTACATTTGTATTTATTTATTTTAATTAAGTGTTTTAAGTAGTGTATTTCTAGTTCCCAGCATGCTTTGCATAGGACTGGATAAGAAAAATAAATGTTGAAATTAATTGTTATTTTATGTTTTATGTTAGACATTTAAAAGCGTTTCTGTTATGTTGAAGTTTTTGTGGTTACATTGTACTGACAACTACAGTGACCAGTGATAATCAAATTGTTTAAATTATTTGGTGTAACTTATTATTTTTTTTTTGAAGAATCAACTTAAAAATTATATTGTGTTTATATGATTCAGTTGCTCCAACTTTTTTCATTAGAATAATTTCAATTTTTTCCTCCACAATTTCCATTAGAAGTTGTCATAGCTCAAAAAGACTAAGGCAAACTGTTATGTATTTTTTAAAGCCAAAATCATTTGTTTTTAGATTGTATAAATGTAACTATAACAAATAATTATATTAGCATCCACACCAACGCAGGACAATAATCTGTTTATTATGGATGCTTGATACCGATATGTTGTTTGCAGCTTTAAATGCATAAGCTCTTTAAAGGGTTAGTTCACCCAAAAATGAAAATTAGTCTGCGTTTTACTCACCCCCGAGGCATCCTAGGTGTATATGACTTTCTTCTTTCAGATGAATCCAGTCAGAGTTATATTAAAAAATTATCTTTGATCTTTCAAGCTGTTTAATGCCACTCAGCGGGTGTTGGATTGCTTCAGTCCAAAAGAACTTAAATAAAAATCGCCCATCCATAAAAAAAGTGTCTCACGTGGCTCCGGGGGGTGAACAAAGGCCTTCTGTAGCGAATCGATGTGTTTTTGTAAGAAAAATATCCATATTCAAAACGTAATAATCACTTTAATGTAGTTCTTTTGGACTGAAGCAATGCAACACCCGCTGAGTGGCATTAAACAGCTTGAAAGATCAAAGACCATTTTTAATATAACTCCGACTGGATTCGTCTGAAAGAAGAAAGTTATATACACCTAGGATGCCTCGGGGGTGAGTAAAACACAGCCTAATTTTCATTTTTGGGTGAACTAACCCTTTAATGTCTGTTGGATTCTGATTGGCTGTCAGTGTTTTGCTGTTGAGCTGTAAAAAGTCTTTATGACAGTGATTCCAACAATGCGTTACATTACAGTGTAGTTGTTGTGTGTGGACTTCCATATTCTTATAGAATCAGAACGATTAATTAAACTTTATAGTTCCAGTTATTTTCCTTGATGTGAATGACCCTTTAATCTGTTGTTTTAGAACACATTGTGATAAGCTGTGTGATGTCAATGTGAAAAAGACATCAAATGAATCGTTTATCTCATGTATCAAATCTTTTATGTGAAATGCGTCACATCAATAACGAAGCGGCTTTATTCACGCCATCACTTGTTAGATATCAGAGTGCACAAAGCATGACAGGGGAGCTTGGATTGTAACATTGAATTTATCTTTGTGTAGATTGTAAAGAAGGTCAATCTCTACTGTCTGAGCACATACATCCAGGCGGATGCCATGAGGGTGGAGTTTCCAGAGATGATGTCAGAGGTCATTGCGTCACAGCTGCCGAAAATGCTGGCGGGAATGGTCAAACCCCTCATGTTTCACAACAAGTGATCTAGACAGGACACTTGGGTCTGTGATGATGTACATCTCTTGATGTATGTGTACCACATCTAATTAACACAGACATGCACCTTTCCATATACAATCATCCGCTTATAGTAGTCACAAGTTCTGATCTAATGTGTTATTAGCTATTGCTATTGCCTTTTACAAAACATGACAATCTTACATAACATGTTTCTGAGCATTTTTATGATAAATACAGAGAATATAACGTTGTCTTAAAATGTGCTAAAAATGTGATGTATGTTTCTTCAAATTTTTCTAAGTCCATTGTTTTGTTTTTTTGAATGAATCCTTAAATGTTACAAACATTTTAAACATATTAGACTCTAATTTATGGTTAAATTATACACTTTTTTTTTTTTTAAATCCTATATTTTCAGGAAATGTATCCGAGTGTGAGGAAAAGCCAATGCTTATCTGTCTAACTCCGATAAGTGTTAAGTGGACAGTTTTCATGTTCAGATCTTACAAACACCCAGTGCCAGGCACCTTTGATCTTACTTACATTTACAGAGTATCCGCTCGCATCACGTAATCATAAGTACATGTTAAGTATCTAATAAAAATAATAATGTTTGAAAGACAAAGAGCTCAATTGTACATCGGCTCAGAGATCATTGTATAATGTGGATCACTGTATAATTTGATCAAGTCTGATGTTTATTTTTAAAGCAGAATATTAAATGTTTTACCAGAAGCCATTTAAGAGCATAACATTTTAAAAACATTTTTGGATCATCTGTCATTTCCTCTCTGTGACCTTGATGGTTTAGCTGAAGGGAGTATCAGTCCAGCATCAGCAGTCAAGGGCACGGAGCATTCTCATGTGTTTAATTGGAAAAGAACACTGGGATCTTGGCAATCGCCTCCTTTCCACATACTTCTGATGCTGTTTCTCTTCCGATCTCTGCCGGAATGAAGTGACTGATGTCTGAGATTTACTTCAGATGATTTAGCTTTTCTTAAATAGAAGACAAGAAGTGGGTCTCATTCTATAAACAAGTTTATTGGCAGAACAGAAATGAATTAAGAAGAAAACTACATGATTTACAAAATAATCATCCATACATAAACTTCTATCATCTAGATTTTCATCAGTTATCTTCATAACACAAGTTTGGAATATTTCATTATGGAGACAATAAGACGACTGGAACGTACCACATTGGTGTTGTTGACACTGACAGTTGGTGTCATTTTAAACTTCAGAATTAATAATGTGACCTGAACCTCATGTACAATGAAGCGGTTACAGCTAGACTTGATTCATTAGTATTTGTTAAAACTGATTTTTGTTTGACGTTCTGCAGCAACCTGGATACAAAACTGAGACATGATCCACTGCTATCTCATGCTTTATACCAGTGGTTTCCAAACTTTTCAGAATTAGGAATATTGTGTATAAGAAAATATTAGATAACACTGGAACACTTAGTTGCATTCCACTAATTTGATTGAATAAAGCAAGGGTGCTGATATTGGTCTTCCAAGGGTGCTTATATTTCAGCACAAAACTGGAAGATTTCACTGTCCACCAAACATAGAATTCTCTATGTCAATAACATACACCCAGTGGGCAATTAATGTTGAAAAGACATCAAAATTGACATAAAAAAACAGATAAAATTTGCAAATCAAACTGATGTCAAAAACTTGACATGACGTTGATTTTATGTAAATTGAACGTCAAACATATTGGTCTACATATACTGTACATTAAACCAATTTCAAATATCACTGGAATAAATTGTCGTCAAACAAACTGAATTTAAAATGATGTTACAGCATTTTGATCAAGTCTTGACTAATATTTGACATCAAATTGATATCAAGGTGCCCGCTGGGCATTTTTATTCATTTTTACTTTCAAAGCATTTTATTAACAGCATAATGTGATGAATATGAATATTAGAACTGAAAATGTGTAAATATAATTTTTTGTCCCTTTAATGTCAGCAGCACTCAAGCTGCGTAAGCAAAGCCAATGATCTTGTTCTTCAGCATGATTTAAAAATGTTCCAAAGAGAATCTTGCGCTTCAGTGTTAAGTTGGAAATTTGACCAGAGGGTTAATATCACAATTTACCTGAAAACCTAAACTTAATTATTAGTCATCTAGAACTTTTGCAGAAATTCGTGTTCATTTTGTTTCTCTGTTTAAAATGTTCAAAAATCCTAACAATGTGGTCTCAGACGTCTGAACACTAATGACAGTAAAAGCAAGTACATTCACGATGAAATAAACCACACACAAAGCAGAGTTTCTGCTGAACTGAGTTAAACATAACAGTGATTCTCAGCTCAAATAGTGCTGAGGTTTAACATTCTTCTCCATCATTTCAAGGCAGTTAGCATTGAGCTAAAATAAAAGAAAGTCTGTCTTTTAGACCTATTATCTGATCTTTCTTAACAGAATTACAGTATTCCACCACATAGTACAGTAGACCTAAAAGGACCATTTAGTGCAGTCCATCGCACCTCCTGATCTCAGTGTATGTGAATTTGTGTATCTAGACTCAAGCAGCACATGATGCTCATTTTAACATTTCAGCCTCAGCAAAAGCTTTGAAACCCAGTTGTCTAGAATTACAGCTGTGATTCAGACATTAATCACCCTTGTACTGCATCATTGAGGTTTGTGTACCATCCATGATCTCTTAATTTCACTTACATGAATTCCATTTACATTCCATTGATATATAGTTAATGCCCTTGGTCTAAAATTGATGTTACCATGGATACCATGAAATGCTTGGCCCCTCCTGGTTGGACGCTGTCAGAGGAACACCACGTAATTTTCAGGAACGAGGCCTTTTTTGCCCTCAAATGTTGCCTGGAGCCAACCTGGTTCCACTGAAGGATACACTACACAGAGGAAAATGAGAAAGTTTAGTGGTGACAAGTTTAGACTTGATAGGAAAAATCTATTGTATTATCACTTATACTTAGGGATTTAAAAATACCGGGGCACAACAATGGATATGTGGCCTGAGACCATTTCTGAGAGCGTTTTGGGACAGATGACAGAACATCATTGGGTCAACAGAGCTTACTATTGTTGATCTTGTACATGCTTTGTATATTTAACAAAAGTAAATTATTCAATATGAAATGGAATGTTGTGTGCTGATTTGATGTTACCAATAATGCCTTAATTTTAGAAGCATTAACAAGACTGTTAGAAATTACAAATCAATCAGTAATGTTCCAGCAAATTCCAGAAAAAAAGATTGTTTCCATCTATTACTCACTATACATGAGCAATATTACACAAGTAGCAGTGCGATATGGCTATATGTTAGCATGGCTGTGATTTGGCAGTAGGCATGAGACTGCAGGACAGTGTTTGTGTTCGTGATAGTGATTTTAGTTACGTTAATCCATGACAAGGAAGTTATTTTTACTTTCAACAACAGCTTGTAAGACACAGCCAGCAAATGCACTGAGCAGCGCTGTCATCGAAAATCACCCTTAACAGATGAACGAAGATATGGCTTTCTTCAGCGGACATTCAAACTGATGTTTTATTGTGAATATGAGATTAAGCTGAAGAATGAATGCTGTATCAGATGCAGGTAATCACACTCGCTCAGTCCATCTCTCTCATAATACTCTACATAATACAGGGAGCCTTTAACCATTTTAATACAATAAACTTTCAATGACGAAACTCAACTTCGTTACTTCTAAAGTGACGTTTTCAAATTAGTAACGGAGGCTTGGGCTCAGTTGTTAAACTGTCAAACTGAGATTTGTATCTGTGGCGGAAGGAAGTAGTTCTGCACAAAAGACGGTTTTTAAAGACACCCCGTTGTTGTCTCTTTTTTTATTTACACCCTTGTGTGGCCGAATCACAGCCATGCTGATATACAGCCACCTTACACTGCTACTCGTGTGATATTGTTCATATATATGGAGAGAAAGAAAACTTAACACTTTTACATTTATTTAAATTAATAATTCAATTAATTTAAATGAATTAATATTAAATTGAATGTTGTTTGCTGATTTGATGTTACCAATGTAACTTAATGACATACAGTAGCTTAAATAGCAATAATGTCTTGATCTTAGAAGCATTAATAAAACTTAATTTAAAAGTCATAGTCAACATAGTCAAAAAAAAATGGCAATGTTTTGATGGGGTCAGTGAAATTGCAGGCAAGACAAGCAAAAAAAAAAAAAACCTACCAGACAACTGGGTCAGCAGAAAACATCCTTATTGTCGAGCCTGCAATCACTAAGCATCAAATCTAGCATATACCTGTACGTCGTCCCACATGTAAAGTAAAGACTTAAATGTTACCTCAAATCGTGGCTTATTGAGGTGTGCTATTATTTTTCTAAGTGATCAGACATATGACTTTTGCTTAGTGAATAAACTGAACAGAAACACTCAAAACACCTTAGCAACTGCAAAGCAAGGCCCCTTTTCCAGCCTTCATCTCAGACAAACACAGCATGTGTAGAAGTCCTGAATAAACTTGAAACACTGTAGCCATTACTTTTAAAGTTATTTGTGTGTCCATTATGTTCAAAAACAATAGTGACCTCAGGAAAGGGGTCATCAGTGAACCACATATGCATGGTTTTAATTAATGACGGATCAAGCTAGGTCAGTTTGCTCTGATAAATTACCCCCTTAAAGCTTTCAAAGGACCTCACAAGTGACTCACCCTGTAATGACGCATTTCAACATACTCCGAACTATCAAAGCATCTGTTTAGACTGTAAAGCTTTAGGCAGATGAGACTGGAAAATAAAGAGGCTTTAAATCGTTTTATAAGCAGAGCTCTCATAAGTCAACAGTGAGATGGTTGATGAGTAAGAGAAGATTTATTTTGTGCTAAGTGTTTGCTGAGCTTTAGAGAGGGGAAGACGCTGCCTGTACCAGGTTACTGTGACCTGTTTCAATGCCCTGGTGCCCAGTCAAGTTTGTTCCTTGCGGAAAATACATCCAGCTATAAAATCCCAGTCCTGACATGTTCGAAGAACAACAGCAGATGGTTGTTCCACAGAGCAGACAGAGGAATGCATTATTTTCTATCAATATTAATGCCCTGGTATGCAGCAATGTGCATCAGTCCAGTCATAGTTCATTCTCTTTTTGTGCTTTGCAACTGTCTCTGTTACAAAAGACATACATATTTTGACATCCCTCAAAACACATTCCCAAAACAGCAACATGCAGATGGATAGATAGATGGATGGAACGACAGACAGACAGGTATGGATGGATGGAATGGCAGATATAGATAGATAGATCGATAGATGCAACGGCAGACCGATATATATATATATATATACATATATATATGGATGGATGGATGGATGGATGGATGGACTGAATGGCAGACAGACAGACGGATAGATGGATAGATGGATAGATAGACAGATAGATAGATATATGGATGGATGGACTGAATGGCAGACAGACATACAGATAGACGGATAGATAGATAGATAGATAGATAGATAGATAGATAGATAGATAGATAGATAGATAGATAGATAGA